GACGCGATGGAATGCTGCCGCGTGGCTTCCCGCGTCTTGCTCCACCAGCCAGTCACCTGGCTCCTTCCAGACTAGATGCAGCAGCAACTTGGAGTAGTAGAAGGCTTCCGACTCCTCGTCCGGGTTGAAGTTCTGGTAGCCAACGATCGCAGGCTTCTTGCGAGGTTGTGGCTCTTGGACGCCTATGAACCTGAAAGCCGCACAAAAGTCCAGGAAGGTGACGTCCATGAACCGACAGGAAATCGGTTCGCCACCTTCCACCGGCAAGGCTGTTTCTTGGTCGCCGAATCTCGTCTGCATTTCACGGTACCAGTGATGAGCGGCAGGCAGGTCCCCGCTTCGGTGGACCTTCTTGCTGTGGTAATGGTCAGGCTGCTTCAAGGCCACTTTCTCCTCGTGCTTTGGCACCCACACGGTCCAGGTGTCCGGAGGTCCTACTTGCACCCAAACGTTGTCTCTGGAGAACTCGATGATCGGGTAACCCAGTAGCAGGTGGCATGCCTCGAAGGTGGAAGTGGTCCTGCCTTGCAACGCTGCGTGCGCTGCTTTGTAGACCTTCTGATTGTCCAGGCCCTCGCCCGCAGCGCTGGACGTCAGGTCGGCCAGGATGTTCTCCATGCGACGCTGCGCGTCGCGATCCTCCTCCGATTTGAAAGTGTAGCCCAATATGTAGCGGCTGGCGCTTGTGAGTTCGCAAATGACCTGCAAGTCCATGCTTGCCCTCCACCTCCTCAGTATTCGTATGTTGTACTGGCCCATCATGCTGTCCCCCTTGACTCTTCTCACGGCAAGGCTGCTTTTCCAGCGGCTTTTGGCGTACTGCTCCTGAGACGTTCGCCGTCGGGTCCGCGGCTCCGGGTCGTGTGGAAACCCAGATCGACAACTGCCTTGTGTGTACATGCCGCAATATGGCGTGTGGTTGTGCACCACTTCTGCGGCGAGCTTTGCGTTCACCTCTCTATCTCGGGCTGCTACACGCTGGGATTGGCGCCACGAGTTCGGAGACTTGGTGGTAATGTGCTTGTCGCTGAGATCTTCCGCAGACTTTGGAATGAAACTCTCCATGGCTTCCTCGTCCGACCAGTCTGGGACCGTGGCCTCGCCGTTGTCGGGCGCCGGCTCATCTGACTGCTTCTTGGCTTTCGCCCACTCTTCGATCCAAAGCAATATGTGAGCGTGGGGGTAGCCCCTCTTTTGCCATTCTATGCGAATGATGTAATCCAAAACTTTGAAAGGCGGCCTTTGCCTGTGCATGCGGTGGTGCAGGCCTGCGGAGTCCGGGGCCGGGGCCTGGGCATCGTCTTCCATGTCCTCGCCGTCGCTCTCCTTGACCTCATCTTGCGGGTCACCGTCTTCGTCTAAATGGAACTTTCGTGCACGTGTGCCGGACTGCAGCCACCACATCAGCTGGGACAGCTGGTGCATGAACTGTCGGGCTACCACCGCCGGCTGCTGGTTGCACAGCTGGTTGGGCGAGAGCCCATCCCACTTGAAGTTCTTGTCGTTCTGGTAGAGGTGCAGGATCTCGGCAGCGTGGTGCTCCAACTCTCCTTGCGGCCGTTCGGGATGCAGCCGCAGCAGCCGCCCGGAGATAGCCGCGAGGAGCATGGCAGGTTGCCGCGCGTGGCAGGAGAGTGTCATGAAGAAGCTGGGAATGCCAAGCTGCTCATACATGTTCAGGGCCACCCCTTTCTTGGCGTACAGGTAAGGCTGCGTGCCAGGAATGTCCCGCAAGGCTGCATATACCCGACGGCTGCCGTTCTCGTATTCACTCTTGCTGCGGGGTGTCCGTTGGTTGCTGATGCGGACGTTGATATTTCCGGAGAGGCGCTTCTTGGTCTTCATCTCTAGGAGCCACATGATGTAGCCCGTGGATCCTTCAAAGCGGCCATCCGCGCTCAGCAGACGCCTCCGTGCATATTGGGCGAAGCCACCGTACTCGTTCTGCCAGCCTCCAAAGCCGGAGGGAAACAGGTGCGGGAAGAACTTCGCATCCAAGTCGTCGCTGAGGTCGGCAGATCCTCGGGCCTTTCGCAAGTCGTGGACGTCGGCCTTCGGAGCCTGGAACTGTTTCGGCAAAAGGTACGTCACTTCAACTTCCTCTTCTTCTTCTGCTTGTGCGGCTGGAGGTGGGTCTGTTGGCTTTGTAGCTGAGGCAGCGGGAGCTTTGTTGGCCAGGATGGCAGCCATTCGTGCCAAGGCTGTCTCGACGGCCGGGCACTGTTGATAGAGGCGGTGATGACGTCTCAAATCTTGCAAGGCCGCGTGGAGAAACTCCAAACGTGCTGGAGATGCGGTGACGCCGCCGACGCCCTCGACCAACACTGTCCCGTCTTCCTCCAAGCTTGCACCTTCGAGGACTCCGCAGATGAAGGGTTCTTGCATGAGAACGGCGTACATGCGGCCCCATTGTGCGCTGGGGCCCCCTGATGGGAGCTTGTCCAGCAGGACCTGCGAGATGCGGGCCATGGCGAGGAGATGCTGCTCGATGGGTCGCAGTCGTTGCAACGCTTCTGGGATGGGGTCCGGCGTTGGCAAGACCATCTTTGTGCGATTCTCGCGACAGTTTCTGCACAGTAGCCGCTCGGTGTTTCTGGCTCTCTTGCAGTGCCTCGCTGGTGTCAAGGTCTGGCACTTCTCGCACACGCGGGAAAGGCCGAATCTACTCCAGCTCCGTGCAAAAGCCAAGTACTGTGCCTGTGCTTGCTCCGGGGTTAAAGAGTCTTCGTCCGGGAAAGGGTAGCCTTGCTGTTGAATCTCCGAGGCGATGGGCAAAGGACCTCGGCCGCCGGCTCCTTCCTCCGTTGCCTGTGCTCTTGCTTCATGCAGCTGTCGCCGTTCTTCTTTGTTGCTGTTCTCGTCGGGCAAAGGACCTCGGCCGCCGGATCCTTCCTCCGTTGCGTGTGCTCTTGCCTCATGCAGCTGTCGCCGTTCTGCTTTGTTGCTGTACTCGTCGGGCAAAGGACCTCGGCCGCCGGCTCCTTCCTCCGTTGCCTGTGCTCTTGCTTCATGCAGCTGTCGCCGCTGTGCTTCTTTGCTGTTCTCGTCGGGCAAAGGACCTCGGCCGCCGGCTCCTTCCTCCGTTGCGTGTGCTCTTGCCTCATGCAGCTGTCGCCGTCCTGCTTTGTTGCTGTACTCGTCGGGCAAAGGACCTCGGCGACCCGCTCCTTCCTCGGTTGCGTGTGCTCTTGCCTCATGCAGCTGTCGCCGCTGTGCTTCTTTGCTGTTCTCGTCGGGCAAAGGACCTCGGCCGCCGGCTCCTTCCTCCGTTGCGTGTGCTCTTGCCTCATGCAGCTGTCGCCGTTCTGCTTTGTTGCTGCTCTCGTTGGGCAAGGGCCCTCGCCTGCCTGCTCCTTTTGCAGCCCGTTCTTGCTCAATGCGAGCTTTCTTCTCCGCTCTCTCTGCTTCTCGGCACTCGACATTGCTGCACCATCCGCTGCCTCTGCCGCTTCTGATTCCAAAGCCGCATCGCTGGCAGGGGGCCATGGCGAGGACGAGTCTACCGAATTGGTTTAGTTCAGCTGGGGCTGACTGCCGAAAAGCTGCGGGGTTGCCCAAGCCTCAGCACGCGCAAGGCAGGAATTCAATTTTGCACAACATGCTCAAGAAAGTAATGTTCGGGCGGGTTTGACCCTTTCACCTGGCTGCAGCAACCTTGCACAACATGCAGAAGCTCAAAGAGACCATGTTCAGGTTCAGGTGGCTCTGACCCTTTCATTTTGCTGCAGTCCTGGGGCACATTTCGTATTCTCTCTCCGTGCGGCTCAGATTTGGAGCTCTAGGACTGTCGGCCGTTGGACTGCTCGGAATTGAAGACCACGTGCACATGCACGGTGCCATCGCTCAAGCTGCGATCCAAGAGCTCATCCCAACTCCAGGCATCCGTGATCACATCCCCACCCAACGCCAGTTTCGTGGCATCCAGGCAGATCGGTCCAATGCGACTGCTGTCCAGGTCGTGAAGCAGGACTTCTCTGGGGCTGCGATGCTGTAGTATTTCTGCAGGCAAAGGCTTGTTGGACTTCTGCCGTCTTTCACGTAGCTGGCACAGGGAGAGAAATCGATCCGGGTTGTTTCCGTCGTGTAAAGTGGTCAGCCAAGCTTCACGGAACGAGCCGCATTCAAGCTGGCAGCACGGGTAGGGCCTTGAGGCGTGAACCTCATCACCCTTCATATTCATGTACTTCACCGTCATGTTCGCCAGACGTTTGTTGTATGCTTTCTGGATGTCCATTTCTTTGTCCCATGCTGCTCTCTCAGGTGCATCTTCCTCGGCCTCACGCTGCATCTCCTGTTCGACCCAGTCCCAGTCATCGAACCCGTCCTCGCGGTCCACCTGGTCGGAGTCGTGAATCGAATGGTCTGTGCTCTGGAAGTCTTCGTTCATGTCGTCGGACATCATTGTCGTGCCAGTTGACCTGAGAAGCACGGGCCGCTGCAACGCTATCAAAGACCACCTGCGACGACACTGGCGGAGGCTCGCATGTCTGAGGCTCGCACCGGGCCACAGGCCAGTGATATCTGTTGATGCTAGATAGCAGTTTGAGGCTTAGTATGCTATGGTGGCGGCGTTGAAGGATCTGCTGTCACAGGATGCTGCGCTGTGCACTTTCACAAGGCTAGCTGCTGGCAACGACTCTGAATCCAAGAACGGCTGGACATGCACGCCCGTTTTGGCCTTCTGCCACAGCTCAACACGGTATGTGCAGGAATTGGGCCTTCATCGCCCACGTCCTCAGACATGCCGACCTCGGGAACAGTGGCGGTGGGGATGGGCGCCCCCGCCCCCCTTCTACTTGAGGATCAGCGTGGCGGCCTCCAGCTTCGTTCAGCTTGAGACTGAACACCTGAGACCCCATATTGGTTGAGGATAAACAAATCACTTGTTCATGCGAGCCCTCCCGTCCCCGCCTCCAGCTTCGTTCAGCTTGAGACTGAGCAACTGAGACCCCATATTGGTTGAGGATAAACGAATCACTTGTGCATGCGAGCCCTCGGGCCTCGTCCCGGTCCCCGCCTCCAGCTTCGTTCAGCTTGAGACTGAGCACCTGAAACCCCATATATATTGGTTGGGGATAAGCGAATCACTTCCATCTTGGTTGAGGATAAACGCTCCGGCCTCATCCCCGCCTCCGTCTTCTTCGGGCTGTGGACCACGCACCTGGGACCCCATCTTGGTTGAGGATAAGTGCTCCGGCCTCGTCCCCGACTCCGTCTTCTTCGGGCTGTGAGACCACGCACCTGGAACTCCATCTTGGTTGAGGATAAGTGCTCCGGCCTCGTCCCCGCCTCCGTCTTCTTCGGGCTGTGAGACCACGCACCTGGAACCCCATCTTGGTTGAGAATAAACGCTCCGGCCTCGTCCGCGCCTCCGTCTTCTTCGGGCTGTGAGACCACGCACCTGGGACCCCATCTTGGTTGAGGATAAGTGCTCCGGCCTCGTCCCCGACTCCGTCTTCTTCGGGCTGTGAGACCACGCACCTGGAACCCCATCTTGGTTGAGGATAAACGCTCCGGCCTCGTCCCTGCCTCCGTCTTCTTCGGGCTGTGAGACCACGCACCTGGAATCCCATCTTGGTTGAGGATAAACGCTCCGGCCTCGTCCGCGCCTCCGTCTTCTTCGGGCTGTGCCCCATTCAGGTCGAGGATAAGCGTGACGTCTGCGCTTCCCGACTCCCGTTCAGGGTAAGCGTGGCAGCTGCACTGCTGCACCTCCCGACGCCCATTCAGGTTGAGGATAAGCGTGGCGGCTGCACCTCCCGACCCCCAGGTTGAGGATAAGCCTGGCGGCTGCGCTTCCCGACCTCCGATTCAGGGTAAGCGCCCAACCCCCATTCAGGTTGAGGATAAGCGTGGCAGCTGCACCTCCCGCCGCCCATTCAGGTTGAGGATAAGCGTCGCGGCTGCACCTCCCGACCCCCAGGTTGAGGATAAGCGTGGCGGCTGCGCCTCTTCCCCCTGGCCCCCATTCTGGTTGAGGATAAGCGTGGCGGCTGCACCTCTTTGCCTGGCACCGGATAAGCGTGGCGGCTGTACCCTCTCGCCCCTCTTCTGGTTGAGGATAAGCGTGGCGGCTGCGCCTCTTCCCCCTGGCCCCCATTCTGGTTGAGGATAAGCGTGGCGGCTGCGCCTGGCACCGGATAAGCGTGGCGGCTGTACCCCCTGGCCCCTATTCTGGTTGAGGATAAGCGTGGCGGCTGCGCCTCTTCCCCCTGGCCCCCTTTCTGGTTGAGGATAAGCGTGGCGGCTGCACCTCTTCGCCTGGCACCGAATAAGCGTGGCGGCTGTACCCCCTGGGCCCCTATTCTGGTTGAGGATAAGCGTGGCGGCTGCGCCTCTTCCCCCTGGCCCCCATTCTGGTTGAGGATAAGCGTGGCGGCTGCACCTCTTCGCCTGGCACCGGATAAGCGT